TCCTAATGTGGACTATACAGAACTCTGCCGCGCGCGCGTCTGAGTTCTGTATTGTCCACACTCGAAATGTGGACGCGTCCGTCGGCCTCCTTAAAGAGCCACAGAAATTTTGAATTCAGTTTGGGTATTACATGTCGACTATGCTAATGTGGACAATGCAGAACTCTGTCGCGCGCGCGCGTCTGAGTTCTGTATTGTCCACAATAGAAGAGTCGACGCGTCCGTCGGCCTCCTTAAAGAGCCACAGAAAGTTTGAATTCAGTTCTTGCAATCACAAGTCGACTATGCGAATGTGGACAATACAGAACTCTGTCGCGCGCTTCTGAGTTCTGTATTGTCCACACTAGCTATGTGGACGCGTCCGCCGGCCTCCTCAAAGAGCCACAGAATTTTTGAATTCAGTTTTTGGAGATACATGGCACCTATTTTATCGTGGACTATACAGAACTCTGTCGCGCGCGCGCGTCTGAGTTCTGCATTTTCCACAATAGAAAACACGACGCGTCCGTCGGCGTCCTTAAATGGCCACGGACATTTTGAATTCCGTTTTTGGAATTACATGTCGATTGTTTCTGTTGTGGACAATACAGAACTCTGTCGCGCGCGCGCGCGTCTGAGTTCTGTACTGTCCACAACAGAAAACACGACGCGTCCGTCGGCCTCCTTCAAGGGCCGCAAAAATTTTGAATTCAGGTTTTGGAATCACATGTCGACTTTGCTAGTGTGGACAAGACAGAACTCTGTCGCGCGCGCGCGTCTGAGTTCTGCCTTGTCTACACTAGAAAAATTGACGCGTCCGTCGGCCTCTTTAAAGAGCCACAGAAATTTTGAATTCAGTTTTTGGGATCACATGTCGATTTTGCTATTGTGGACAATACAGAACTCTGTCGCGCGCGCGCGCGTCTGAGTTCTGTATTGTCCACACTAGAATGGTGAACGCGTCCGTTTGCCTCCTTAGAAGGCCACAGAAATTTTGAATTCAGTTTTTGCAATCGCATGTCGACGATGCTAATGTGGACAATACAGAACTCTGTCGCGCGCGCGCGCGTCTGCGTCCTGTATTGTCCACACTAGAAAGAGGTGGACGCGTCCGTCGGCCTCCTTAAAGACCCACAGAATTGTTTAATTCTGTTTTTGGAATTACATGTCGACTTTGCTATTGTGGACAATACAGAACTCTGTCGCGCGAGCGCGCGTCTGAGTTTTACACACAATAGAAAAGTCGACGCGCCCGTCGGCCACTCTAAAGGGCCATAGAAATTTTGGATTCAGTTCTTGGAACCACATGTCGACTTTTATATTCTGGACAACACAAGACTCTGTCGCGCGCGCGCGTCTGAGTTCTGTATTGTCCACACTCGAAATGTGGACGCGTCCGTCGGCCTCCTTAAAGAGCCACTGAATTTTTGAATTCAGTCTTTGGAAATGCATGTCACCTATTCTATTGTGGACAATACAGAACTCTGTCGCGCGCGCGCGCGTCTGAGTTCTGTATTGTCCACGCCAGAAAAGTCGACGCGTCCGTCGGCCTCCTTAAAAAGCCACAGAAATGTTTATTTCAATTTGTGGGATTCCATGCCATTTTGGCGAATGTGGACAGACAATACAGAACTCTGTCGCACGCGCACGCATCTGAGTCATATAACGTCCACATTAAGAAAAGTCGACGCGTCCGTCTGCTTTTTTAAAAGAGCAACAACATTTTGAATTCAGTGTTTGGAATTACATGTCGACGATGCTAGTGTGGCCGAAGCTTTTATGCTTCGTCGGTAAATTCAAAGTGACCCTATACTTTCAAGCCCCAGGCCGGTCCCAGAATAATGAGGTTGTATTTAGTGTTGTTTCACAACACTTTGAAATGCTTGGGTAAGTTCAGGGTAACCCTGGCATTACGCCGAAAACCAGAGAAGAAGTAGCTAATCGATAGGGTTGAACAGCAGCGCCCCGTCATGGAAGAGGAGGAGGAGGAGGAGGAGGAGGAGGAGGAAGGAAGACTTCGAGATTCGAGGCAGTTGTTTGTCGTTTTCGGCCCCCTGGGGCCGCTTCCAGACCCCGGAGCCGTCACAAAATGACCCGGGATGGAAAAGTGTGTCCTCGGGGTGCGGGAATCGTCCCGAGCGGCCGCCGGAGGCCCGAGCCATGGCCAGAAAACCGACCGGGGAGGAAAGGAGGGAGGGGACAGATGGACGGAGAGGCCGGAGTGATGGGGGATGAGGGGAGGGGAGGGCGGAAAGAGGGACAGAGTGGTGGACGGGCGTGGCCACACTGGCCGCCCTCAACCGCCAGAAGTTCGTAAGCTGTCGTCGTCGTCTTCGTCGTCGTCGTCGTCGTCGTCGTCGTCGTCGTGAGCTGTCGTCGTCGTCGTGAGCTGCCCCCGTTGCGTCGTCGTCGTCGTCGTCGTGGAGCCCTCCCAGGCCGACTTGCACCGATTCCGTGACATTGTAGTTCCCTCTTGGGTCCTTCCCAGGCCGTCTTGCACCGACTCCGTGATATTTGGACGCCCTCTTGGAGCCGAGCCCTCCCAGGCCGTCTTGCACCCACTCCGTGACATTCGAACTCCCTCTTGGAGCCCTCCCAGGCCGTCTTGAAGAGGCCCGAGGGCCCCAAGAAGATGGCCCCAAGGAAGGTGTGCAATTGCACGCCGCACTTGGGGCCTCTGGAACTCACTTGGGGCATCCTTGGGGCCGTCCTGGAGCCCTCCCAGGCCGTCTTGGAGGGGGCCGAGGCCTCCAAGAGTGCCCCAAGAGGGCTCCAAGAGGGCCCCCGACAGGGCCCGAAGCGGGCCCCCAGGAAAGGCCCAAGATGGCCACGGGGGGGATACGTAGCACCCCGCAATTGCGGATAACAGTGAGGGCGCGGGCAGGCGGGCGCAGCGCCTGCGACCCACCCGCGACCCACCCGCCTCGCGACCCGCCCGCGACACATCGGCCCCTATGACATAAAAGAAATGGCCCTTCCCAGGCCCCGTCGACCCTCCTGGACCCTTCCCAGGGCCGTCGGAGGGGCCCAAGAGAGCCCCATAACGGTTCCAAGAAACTCCCAAGAGCGTTTACGCGAAGCCTCTCTCGCGTGACCGATCTCGGGGCCCTCTTGGGGGCCTCTTGGGGCCCTCTTGGAGCCCCTTGGAGCCCTCTCGGGGCCCTTTTGGACCCTTCCCGGGGCCTTCGGAAGGGCCCAAGAGAACCCCAAGACGGCTCCAAGAGGGGCCCAATATAGCCCCAAGCAGGTTCCGAGAGAGCCCCCAGAGGGCTCTTATCGCGCATGTCGTGCGCATGTCGTGGACATGGGGCCCAGAACGACGACGACATGCACACGACATGCGCTCTTGGGCCCTTCTTGGGACCCTCTTAGGGCCCTCTTAGAGCGCTCTTGGGGCCTTCTTGGCCCCTTCCCAGGGCCCTCGGAAGGGCCCAGGAGGGCCCCAAGACGGCCCCAAGAGGTCCCCAAGAGCGGTCACGCGACGCCTTTGTCGCGTGACCGATCTCGAGGCCCTCATGGGAGCCTCTTGGGGCCCTCTTCGAGCTTCTTGGAACCCGCTCGGGGCCTTTTGGGACCCTTCCCGGGGCCGTCAGAGGGGCCCAAGAGGGCCCCAGGACGGCTCCAAGAGGCCCCCAAGAGGGCCCCAAACCAATTCTATGCCATAGAGTTGGTCTGGGGCCCTCTTGGGATTCTCTTGGGGCCATCTTGGAAACGTCTTGGGGCCCTCTTGGGCTCTTCCCAGGGCCTTGGCCATGTCCAACTCGGAGTTGGACATGGGCCCTCTTAGAACCGTCTTGGGGTCCTCTTGGAAACGTATTGGAATGTGGTGTGAGGTGTGTAGCGCGTGCACCCCATGTGGTGCAATATATGTGCTGTAACCTTAGTGGTGCGTGCAACCTCTGTGGTGCAATCTATATGGTTCAAGCTATGTGGTGCGTGCATTCTCTGTGATGCAATCTATTTGGTGTAAGCTATGTGGTGCGTGCACTCTATGCGGTCCAATATATGTGGTGTAAGCTACGTGGCGCGTGCAATATGTGTGGTGCAATATATGTGGTATAGGCTACGTGGTGCGTGCAACCTCTGTGGTGCAATCTATGTGGTGTAGGCTTTGTGGTGCGGGCAATCTCTGTGGTGCAATATCTGTGCTGCAAGCTATGTGGTGCGTGCACTTCATGTGGTGCAATCTATGAGTACATGCTATGTGGTGCGTGCACTCTCTGTTGTGCAATATATGTGGTAAGCGCTATGTGCTGCGTGTAATCGTTGTGGTGCAAAATATGTGGTGTAAGCTATGTGGTGCATGCAATATCTGTGGTGTAAGCTATGTGCTCCGTGCACTCTATGTGGTGCAATAGATGTGGTGTACGTTAAGTAACGCGTACAATATTTGTGGTGCAAACTATGTGGTGTAAGCTACGTGGTTCGTGCACCCTATGTTGTGCAATCTATGTGGTGTAGGCTTTGTGGTGCGTGCAATCTCTGTCGTGCAATCTGCGTGGTGTAAGCTACATCGTGCGTGCGCTCTATGCGGTGCAATCGATGTGGTGTAAGCTATGTGATGCAATCTATGTGGTGCACGATATGTGGTGGAAGCTATGTGGTGTAATATCCGCGGTTCAATATATGTGGTGTAAGCTATGTGATGCAGACTATGTGGTGCAGTCTATGTGGTGCAGTCTACGTGGTGCAATATATAGGGTTCAGTTTTCCAAACGTTAGTGCTCTCAGTTTCAGCGCAGCCGCCTCGATAAACCGATGTACATCCATGGACATCGGGCTCAAGTGCATTAATTTGCGGCCAGTCCGCATGCAGCTTGCCCTTCTTTCCAATTCCTGGAACATTCTCTCCAGAGGCTGGACAGCCTCGCAGACGATCAGAAGTGTGTTGGCGCCCGTGGTTGCGAGTACGGGCGAGTGTGTAGCAGTGCTGGATCTCTTCGGCTGCACGCGGGGCCTGGCGAGCACCTCGTTCATCCTCGGGTTCCTCCTGGCGAGCGCCTTGTGCTGTGGGTGTCCCCATGGCCGTGGAGGCCGGCAGGAGGCTGCTCGTGCAGTGGGGGGATGGGCAGGACTGGCAGGCCCGCGTCGCCATCGCTCCCGCCACCGCCGCCGATCTGCAGGCCATCATGGAAGTTCAAGCGACTCCCGAACAGATAGCAGCAGGGAAGATATGGTGGTGCGGGACCCCGGACGGCGACGCCTACCCTCACTGCCTGGACGTGGGCCCGCTCAGCGGGTTGATCCTGTGCGACGACGAGGGCCGGCCCGATCGGGCGACGCTCCTCGGCACACGATTCACCAACCGCACGCGCGTGTATGGCTCGGACTGGAGCGCCACGCCGCTGGAGTTCGCCAAGATGATCAAGCTGTGCATCGGCGACCAGTGGCTGGAGCCCCGGCTGGCAGTAGTGGCAGCTGGGGGTGAAGCGGTGGCGAATCTGATTGAGGTCGGATCGCGGGTTCTACCGCCCCCGACCCCCGACGGCTGGCAGGTCGTCTGGAGCACGGGCGGCACCCCGCGCAAGACTCTGCTGGGCAACCTGAACGTTGACGAGTTCGCTGTCTGTGACGTGGGTGCGCTCGCCGTGAAGGGCTCAGAGGTGCTGCTGCTGCGGAGGAGCTCAGGTGTCGATGATGACTTGGACTCGGACGCCCGCGTGCTCAGCATCGTCCAGAGCCCGAGTGGTGAGCGACGGCGCCCATTCAAGGATAGTGTGAGAGAGATGACGGAGACAAGCTGGCCGGCGTGGCCGATCCTCGGCCCCAGGACCGCCCGGTGGTGTCTCGACTTCATCGCTGAGCAGGACACCCACCCCCGCGCGCGACACACGAAATGGAGACATGAAGCGGGGGTGGGTGGTCAGGACATCGGTTGTCAGGACCATGAGCTGGCGATGAGAATGATAGAGCTCGCCGTGGTGTACGACCAGCTCAACATCACAGAGCTAGCGAGTTTCGAGCTGCTCTTGAGGAGGGCGCAGCTCGCGGAGATGCGGTATCGCGACAAGATCCTGGGGAAGCACGGCGGTGACGAGTTCGCGGAGGATGAGTTCTTGTACATGGGGACCGGCCTCACGCGTGGGCTGGTGATGGTGAGCCCCTCTCGGACCACATCACCGAGCAGCTCCACAAAGAGGCCGCCGTGATGAAGGGGCGCAGGAAGTTGAAGGAGGAGAGGCAGGCTAGCCGCGCCCCCGGCGGAGGGGGGACAGGTGGGAGCTCATCCGCCGCGGCCCAGGGGTTGCAGCAGAAGGTGAACGCCCAGGCCGCCGAGATCCGCAGGCTGATGGACAAGGTCGGTGAGACTGCGCCTGCTGGCGACGGAGGCGCCGGCGGGGGACGCGGCCGCGGTGGCGGCCGGGGGGCCAAGTAGCCTACGGCGCTCCCATGGCGGTCCCGCGGGAGCTGCTTCCAGTGGCCATCCCCGCGGGCCCGCCGCCCTCGCCCCCTGTGGGCGCCTGCAGCCGAGCTGCGAGGAGCCGCCTCCGCAAGAAGGAGCACCTCCACGCCTGGACGCAGGAAGTTCTGGTTTCAATTAATGAGCTGTATGGCCACGGGTCGCTGCCCGCCGACGGCAAGTCTTCGCTCGCGCAGGAGTGCGGGCTGGAGCATGTCAGGCGCGTGGTGGAGGACGCCGGGCCACCGCCAGCTTGCACCGCCGCGGCAGCCCACCGAGAGCTGTGCGGACCTGGGCACGGCTACGTCTTCGAGCCGGAGCACATTGCGTCCTACGACCGGTCCCTGGTCTCTCTGCCGAAGGGGGGCGGCCTCGCTGATGGGAGCCGCATCCTGGAGGGAGAAGCTTTGCAGCAATGGGTAGGATGGAGGCAGCTGTTGAAGCGACAGCCCGAGGGCGGCAGCCAGGCGCCCAAGCCCCACTACGACGGCAAGTTTCGTTCCCGATCTACCCGCGCCCAGTTCGTCGGCGACCTGTTGGATGCCGGCGCGGTCTCCCTGACGCAGCAGCGGGAGGAGACGGTGGGCGCCTTCTTTGTGCACAAATCGAATGGTATGCAGCGCTTAATTATTGACCCTCGGCGTGTCAATGACTTGTTTGAAGCTCCAGCGCACACAGTGCTCCCGACAGCGGGGGCTTGGTCAGCGTTGGAGGTCCCCATGGGCCAGGAGTTGCACCTCGCCCAGGCCGACGTGGACAGCGCGTTCTACAGGATCGGCTTGCCGCGGGGGGCGCAGGAGATGTTCGTTTTGAGAGCTGTCCACCTTCCCACCCTGCTGAAGCTGAGGCCTGACCTGTCAGACCAGCTGCCGCCAGGGATCGAGGCGTGGGCGTCACCTTGCCTAGAGGTGCTTCCCATGGGGTGGACATGGAGTCTCTACTTTTGCCAATGCATGGTGATGGCTGGTGTTCAGGCCGCTGGCTTCGCCCTGTCCGACTTCATCCAGGATCGCCGTGCAGCCCCTTCGGTGACGGACCGCAGCCGTGTGGCCGTCTACGTGGACGGAGTTGCTGTGGTGGGGCTGGAGGCTAACCTGGTGACCTCCGACTGCGAGCGGGTCGCCGCGAAGCTGGAGGCGCTGGGTCTGAAGTGCAAGGGCGTGGAGGCGGCTGGCTCGGACACCACCTTCACGGGCCTGAGCTTCGAGGTGGCCTCTGGCAAGATACGGCTTTCTCGGTCGCGGACGTGGAAGTTGAGGCTGGCCCTCCTGCACGCGGCCTCCCGCGGGTGGGCCTCGGGAGACGAGCTTCGGCATCTCCTTGGCCACTGGTGCTGGGCAGCGATCCTGCGGCGCGAACTGCTGAGTGTGTTCGCGCAGACGTACAGGTACATCGCCCTGGCCGGCTCCAGGAGGTGGAGACTCTGGCCCTGCTGCGGCGTGCCGCGGCCTTGGTGTGCTTCGCGTTCGTGGACGCCAAGCGGCCCTACAGCACGGTCGTGACCGCGTCCGACGCTTCGGGGGCCAGCCGCTACGACTTCGGCGGGTACGGCGTGATGGAGACGGACTGGGACCTGGAGAGCGTGAGGGCCGCGGCCGGCCAGGCCGAGAAGTGGCGGTGGTGTGTCTCAGATGCCATCGCTGCTCGCGCCCAGACGCTCGGCCTGCCGCAGGAGCAGGGACCAAAGCGTCCAATGTCTCGCCAGGCAGGAGTCACTTTCGAACATATCACGCCCAGCCAGATGGGCGACGACAGCAGCTGGCGCCTCTGCGCAAAAGGTCGTTGGCTTCGTCATGAGAACATCCTGCGTACTGAGGGGCGAGGGGTTGTACTGGGGCTTCGGCATCGTCTACGTTCCCGGGCGTCCCAGGGAGCTCGTCACTTGTTCCTTTGTGATAACATGTCCATGGTGTTGGCCCTCAGCAAGGGCCGGGGATCTACTTCAACAGTCAATCGTACGTGTCAAGAGGTTCTTGCACTCAGTTTGTTTGCCAACGTTCACTGTTGTTTCAGATGGATAGCGTCAGAGATAAACCCAGCAGACCGACCGTCGAGAGCGTGGCCATCTCGGCCCGAGCCGCGGGACCCTCGGTCAGATCCACGATCGGCATGGTACCTTGATGCTCACGCGGCCGCCGCCCGCCTCGACCTGGCGCTCGAGGGGGAGATCGACAACCACCTCCTCCGCCAGCCAGGCGGGGCAGAGGCGGCCGGCCTCTGCGGCCTCGGGGACACCTGGCTGGACGAGCCTGCGGCGGCCTTCGGTCGGCGGGTCGAGCCAGCCCAGTCGCCACCCAGTGGAGCTGCCGAGGCGGCGTGGAGCAGCTCTTCAAGCAGCTCAGGCGAGGAGGAGCCGACGTGCGACGCTGAGGCAGACGCAGAGAGAGGCAGCTCAGGAGGCGGCGGCCGCGGGCCTGGGCTACATGCAGGCATCGCGGGCACAGCCGCAGACGGTGGCCTACTACCGGGTCATCCTGAGCGAGTTCGAGAGGTGGGCCGAGGAGCAGGACCTCAAGTTGGAGACGCCGGAGGAGATGGACCAGGCCCTGTCCGCCCACATGGACCCGCTCTTCTTCGAGGGCTACAATCACGATCAAGGAGAAAAGTTGATAGCAGCCGTCAAGTACTACGACGTGCACGGGGTGTATCAGTCCGTGGAGGCGCTGCCCAGGGCCCGCGCAGCCTTGAGGGGCTTCCGCAAGCGGGCCCCGGGCCAGTCGCGGGCGCCCCTGCCGCGGCCAGGGCTGGCGGCTCTGGTGGGCGCTGCGCTGTTCTTGGGGATGCAGGAGCTGGCAATGGCCTTGGAGGTGGCGTGGTGCGCCTACCTTCGGCTCCCCAGCGACTTGATCTCCATGACCGGCTCTTCGCTCATCCCGCCCCAGCGGTCCACGGGGGTGTCTCACTGGGCGCTGCTCCTGTACCACGAGGAGAAGCAGCCCAGGAGCAAGACCGGCCACTGGGACGAGGGTTGCCTGCTGGACAGCGACAGGGTGACGGCGATGGGGCCGCTGCTGCAGGCGCTGGTACGTCGTGCCGGACCGAGTCAGCCGTTGTGGTCCTTCTCAGCCGCGCAATTCCGAGTGCTGTTCCGCAAGGTGGCGCAGTTGGCTGGCCTCCCGGACTTGAACCCCTACCAGGTGCGCCACGGAGCCGCCAGCGCCGACGCTCTCCACCAGAATCGAGACATGAAGACCATCCAGGAGAGGCTGAGGCATGCTCAGGAGTCGTCAACACGACGGTACAAAAAGCACACGAGGTATCTCCGCGAGTTAGACCAGCTGGCGGCCGACACGAAGCAGTACGGAGACTACGTGGATGCCAACTTCGAGGCGCTGATCAGCAAGCGCAAGGCCGTGGCCGCGCCTCCAGGGGCAAAAAGGCCGCGGCGTTGGCCGCCGGCCAGCTCTGGCGCTCAGGAGACACTCTTGCCTCTGCCCTCCAGCTGTCGGCCGCGTCGGTCAGACGCAGGCTCAGGGCCGCGTTAGACCAGGCGCTAGGCCGCCAGCCTCGGAGGGCACAGACTTTTCTGGATCTTTTTGCGGGGACAGGCCGTGTCGGAAAATGGCTGGAGAGGTTGAGCGGACTGCCGGCCCTCCGTCTCGATGTCAAGGCTGACCCTGCTTTTGATCTGTCATCCGACGCAGCTCTTAAAGTAGTTCGAGGTTGGATCGGGAGTCGTGTCGTGCGGGCCGTGTGGCTCGCCCCCCGTGTTCAACGTGGAGCGTTGCCAGCCGAAACACATTCCGCACGCCTCAGCATATATATGGTCGGCCCGACCTCTCCGACAAAAACGCAGTCAAAGTACAGTTCGGCAATGCAACAGCTCTCTTTTCCGTATGTGTGATTCGTGCGTGCTTGAAGGCAGGGATCCCAGTGGCCATGGAGAATCCCCAGTCTAGTCTCCTCTGGCAGTGCCCCGCCCTTTTAGATCTCACGCGCCTAGACAATTGTAAAGAGTTTGTCACACACATGTGCCAACATAATCGTGCCTGGAAGAAGCCCACTAAAGTCGTGGGGTGGAATGTAGGGGCTCCGCCTAAGGCGTTGTGTAAACGGTGTTCCGGGGTCCTAGGGATGTGCAGCCGCACGCTCCGGCCTCATGTGGCCCTCCAGGGCCGCGGACCCGGGGGCCCCAGGAACCTGACCGCCCGGGCCGAAGAGTACCCTGACTCCTTCGCCCGGGGTGCCGCTTCTCTGCTTGTGCAGGCTGCCGACCGGATCCAACTCAATCATCTCGCGTCTTTGACTTCGTGAGCAAGCTCACGCGGCTTGGCCAGAGTAGATTCGGGGAGATGGGAGCGAGCGCGCTCTATTATAAGTTCCGTTCGCAGCAAGCACCAGTGTCGTCCACCCTTGGCAGCCTGCTACCTCTCTGGAAAATCATCTGCGTTGGCAAGCGGGAGTGTTCAGAGCAGGGTTCAGTTTTCCAAACGTTAGTGCTCTCAGTTTCAGCGCAGCCGCCTCGATAAACCGATGTACATCCATGGACATCGGGCTCAAGTGCACCACCTCCCTCCCCTCCTCCTGCTTTCCTTTCTTTCATTATATATGTCGTCAAAGCTGGGGAGCGAGCGCGCTCTATTATAAGTTCCGTTCGCAGCAAGCACCAGTGTCGTCCACCCTTGGCAGCCTGCTACCTCTCCGGAAAATCATCTGCGTTGGCAAGCGGGAGTGTTCAGAGCATATATATATATATATATATATATATATATATATATATATGTGGCACAATATATGTGGTACAACCTACGTGGTGCAATCCATGTGGCGCAATATCTGTGGTGCACTCTACGCGGTGTACGCTATGTGGTGCATTCTATGTGGGGCAATCTATGTGGTGCAACCTATGTGGTGCAATCTATGTGGGCAAGCTATGTGGGCAAGTCTATGTCGTGCAATCTCTGTGGGCGGCGACGATGTGGCGACGGAGCGGCGACGGCCGGCCTGGAGCCGCCACACCGACGCACAGGCCCAGGCAACCGGCGGCGACGGGGCGGCGACGGCCGGCACGGAACCGCAAGGCCGGCACACCGGCACAGACGACGGGCGGCGACGAGGCGGCGACGGGGCGGCGACGGCCGGCAGGGAGCCGCCAGACCGGCCCACAGGCCCAGTTCCTTAGAACAGAAGTAAGAACCCCTAAGTGCAAGCACTGCGTGAGGAAATAGGGTGAATGGCCGGGAAGTGGAGGGTGCGAAACAGGGCAAGAAAGAGGCGGAGAGCGGGCTGGGTTGATGTCCGCCAGGTCATGCCAAAGCGCACTTGTTCGATTCAGCGGCCCAAGCAAGCCAACCACGTCGATTGAAAAAAAATGGCGTCGCTAGAGCAGGGGGGCGGCCCCCCCGCCGTGGCGACACTCAGGTCCGGTGCTGAGTGTCGCTCGGCCCTCCCGCGCTGCAGTGTGGACTCCCCTCTCATCTTCCTTCGCCATTGGGTGTCGCGCCAACACTGCAACAGCGAAGGGCCGAGCGACACTCAGTGCCGGACCGGAGTGTCGCTACGGTGGGGGGGCAGCCCCCCCGCTCCAGCGACACGTCATCGCTCTTGCTGGCCATCCTGGAGCGCTGAATCAAGCGAATGCGCCCGCCCATCGGCGCAGCTGCGCAATGGCCCACAATCGCCCTACTGGCGCGAATGCGCCGTGTCAGCGCTAGCGAATGCAGCGACTGATTCCAGCGCGGCGCTGGAGGCAGCGCGGCGCTGATTCCAGCGAGTGCGCTTGCGGCGTGGCTAGCGACACACCGGCCCGGGCCGGTGTGTCGCTAGCCACGCCGTAAGCGCACTCGCTGGAGGCAGCGCGGCGCTGATTCCAGCGAGTGCGCTTGCGTCGTGGCTAGCGACACACTTGCCAACATGCGAGCCTTCGCTGCCGCGCGGCAGCCTACGGGCCACCGAAGGGGCCCTGCGGTGCCTTCAAGGGCGCGCAGGCGCGCGGAAGTGCAATCCGAGCGCCTCGGCGGTCCATCGTTGCCATGAATTCTGTATTGTCCACACTAGAAAGGTCGACGCGTCCGCCAGCCTCCTTAAAGAGCCACAGAATTTTTGAATTCAGTTTTTGGAATTACATGTCGACTTTTCTATTGTGGACAATACAGAACTCTGTCGCGTTCGCGCGCGCGCGCGTCTGAGTTTTGTATTGTCCACACTAGAAATGTGGACGCGTCCGTCGGCCTCCTTGAAGAGCCACAGAAATTTTGAAATCAGTTTTTGGAAATGCATGTCACCTACTCTATTGTGGACAGTACACAACTGTGTCGCGCGTGCGCGCGCGCGTCTGAGTTCTGCATTGTCCACAAAAGAAAGGTCGACGCGTCCGTCGGCCTCATTTAAGAGCCACAGATATGTTGAATTCAGCATTTGGAATTACATGTCGCCTATGCGGACAATGCAGAACTCTGTCGCGCGCGCGTCTGAGTTATGTAATGTCCACACTAGAAAAAAAGCGACGTGTCCGTCTGCCTCCTTAATGAGCAACAGAAAAATTGAATTCCGGTTTTTTGAGTTACATGTCGATTATGCTACTGTGGGCAATACAGAACTCTGTCGCGCGCGCGCGCCCGATTTCTGTATTGTCCACACTACAAAAATCGACGCGTCCGTCGGCCTCCTTGAAGAGCCACAGAAAGTTTGAAATCAGTTTTTGGGAATCACATGTCGACTTCTATATTGTGGACAATACAGAACTCTGTCGCGAGCGCGCGCACGTCTGAGTTCTGTATTGTTCACGCTAGAAATGTGGAGGAGTCCGTCTGCCTTCTTAAAAAGCAACAGAGATTTTCAATTCAGTTCTTGGAGGTACATGTCACCTATTCTATTGTGGACAATACAGAACTCTGTCGCGCGCGCGCGCGTCTGAGTTCTGTATTGTCGACAATAGAAAAGCCGACGCGTCCGTCGGCCCCCTTAAGGAGCCACAGAAATTTTGAGTTCAGTATTTGCCACTAAATGTAGATTTTTCTATTGTGGACAATACAGAACTATGTCGCGCGCGCGCGTCTGAGTTCTTTATTGTCCACGCTAGAAAAGTCGACGCGTCCGTCGGCCTCCTTAAAGAGCCACAGAAATTTTGAATTCAGTTTTTGGAACTAGATGTCGACTTTTCTATTGTGGACAATGCAGAACTCTGTCGCGCGCGCGCGCGCGTCTGAGTCCTGTATTGTCCACGCTAGAAATGTGGACGCGTCCGTCGGCCTCCTTGAAAAGCCACAGACATTTTGAATCCAGTTTTTGAAAATTACATGCCGACTTCTCTATTGCGGACGATTCAGAACTCTTTGGCGCGCGCGTCTGAGTTCTGTATTGTCCACGCTAGAAATATGGATGTGTCCGTCGGCCCCCTTAAAAGAGCCACAGAAATTTTGAAATCAGTTTTTGGAGAACATATCACCTTTTCTATTATGGACACTACAGAGCCCTGTCGCGCGCGCGCGTCTGAGTTCTGCATTGTCCACAATAGAAAGTGGACTCGTCCGTCGGCCCCCTTAAAGAGCAACGGCAAATTTTGAGTTCAACATTTGGAACTACATGTCGACTTTTCTATTCTGGACAATACAGAACTCTGTCGCGCTCGCGCGCGCGCGCGCGCGCGTCTGAGTTCTTTATTGTCCACGCTAGAAAAGTCGACGCGTCCGTCGGCCTCCTTAAAGAGCCACAGAAATTTTGAATTTAGTTTTTGGAACTACATGTCGACTTTTCTATTGTGGACAATACAGAACTCTGTCGCGCGCGCGCGCGTCTGAGTTTTGCATTGTCCACAATAGAAAAGTCGACGCGTCCGTCGGCCCCCTTAAGGAGCCACAGAAATTTTGAATCTCATTTTTGGAATCACATGTCGACTTTTATATTCTGGACAAACACAAGACTCTGTCGCGCGCGCCTCTGGGTCTTGTATTGTCCACACTAGAAATGTGTACGCGTCCGTCGGCCTCCTTAAAGAGCCACAGAAATTTTGAATTCAGTTTTTGGAACTACACATCGGCTTTTCTATTGTGGACAATACAGAACTCTGTCGCGCGCGCGTCTGAGTTCTGTATTGCCCACAATAGAAAAGTCGACGCGTCCGTCGCCCTTTTCAAAAGCCATAGAAATTTTGTCTCCAGTTTTTGGAATTACATGTCGACTTCTCTATTGTGGACGATTCAGAACTCTGTTGCGCGCGCGCGCGCGCGCGTCGGAGCTCTGTATCTCCCACTATAGAAAAGTCGACGCGTCCGTCGGCCTCCTTGAAGAGCCACAGAAATTTTGAATTCATTTGTTGGAGTTACATGTCGACTATGCCAAGGTGGCGATGCAGAAGTCAGCGCGTGCGCGTCTGAGTGATGTTATGTCCACACCAGAAAAGTCGACGCTT